AAGATCGTCGAGGTGCTGTGCAACCTGCTGCGGTCGGTGATCGCGCTGAGCGCGCACGACCTGCTTCCGTGCGTGTACCTGTGCACGAACCGCCTCGCTCCCGCCTACGCCGGCGTCGAGCTCGGCATCGGCGACACCGTGCTGATGCGCGTCGTCGCCGCGGCAACGGGACGCACCGTCGACAAGATCAAGGCCGACGTCGCCGAGAAGGGAGACATCGGCATCGTGGCCGAGGTGAGTTGTAGGGGGCGCCGCCGTCGGTCGGCATCGTCGCCGGGGTTAGTCATAGGGGGCGCCGGCGTAGCCGGCGGGGTTAGTCGTAGGGGGCGCCGGCGTAGCCGTCAGGATTAGTCGTAGGAGGCGCCCGTCGTCGCCGCCGCGGGTCGTAAGCGAAAAAAATTCCTCGTGAGTAGCGAGAAGTTGCTGACGACGGATGCTCTTGTGTTTTGCGCAGACGAGCAGGAGCACGCAGCGTACGATGTTCCGGCCGAACAAGCTCACCGTGCCGGCCGTGTTCGCGAAGCTGAAGGAGATCGCGACGATGTCAGGCAACTCGGTGAGTGCGGGGGGGGGGGGTTGTCCAGGGGATAGTCGTCCGGATATGCCGGTGGACAGGGAACGGCTGTGGAATGTTAAAATTTGGTTTTCTCCATCCAGAAAGTCCTCGTAAAATGGGTTACAGTCTCGGAAAGTTCTGGAAAATTGGCTATTATTTTGTTTGATCCTGGGAAGGGTCTTCTCCTTGTCGGTGTTGGTGACAACCAATACTAATTTTTGTCATGATTATCCATTTCGAGTTAATTAGTGCAATCAATGCAAAGCTTTCGTTATTTTTCTCGATGGATTTCTGCGGTGTAGGTGATGTCCAAGAAGGTGGATAAGATCAAGGGAATGTTTGTCGCGTGTCGTCACGCCGAGGCCCGCTACCTCATGCGCTCGCTCAGCGGAAAGCTGCGCATAGGTCTAGCCGAACAGTCGGTTCTCACTGCCCTCGCTCGCGCCGTCGTCACAACGCCACCTAGTGGGGAAGGTAGGTCGTAGTGCGCACTGTCGTCACAACGCCCCCTAGTGGGGAAGGTAGCGTATTGCGCGTGTCATCGTCACAACACCCCATTTGTGATGAAGGTAGGTGATGTTTAACCTGGCGAAAATTCGAGCGATTTTCACTCCCATATCCACAGTACTGGCGATTGTAGATGCAGTGAATTCACTCGATTGTACACTTACCTCCCCTGTGGTTATGCGTTAGCGTCGGCTGTGTGTTGGATTTAGCATGTTTCATTTTCAACACATTTCTATTGAGCAGGTTAGACTGCCCCGTGCTTATTCCTCGCAACGCTGGTAAATCACTGGTGTGTCCAACGGACGTAGTTGCATTGTCAGTCAGGTGCCCATCTCAATTTTTCCGCAGAGTTTCCTCCTCCAGTCCTCGACGCCAGTAAAGGAATCTCGGCAGACGCCTTTAAGAAGATGCTAGACGAGGGAACGCACTTGCTCAAGCAGACGTACAGGTAGTGCCGCTAGATGTTACAACGTATTGAAGTACGGTACGGCAGCGGGTTTCATCTATGTTCGTGTGTGAGAGTTAGGCTGGATTTACACTGCCAAATTGCCGAATTAGAACATGTTCTAATCTCCCAACTAGCTACTATCGATCGGTTGGTCGTGCAACTTTTGCGTTTACACTGCCGATTGTCAGTTGCGAAATTGCGAAGTTGGTACAATTCGGCAATTCGCCAACACAACGTTGGCAGTGTAAACCCAGCTTTAGAGAACTAGAGGTAGAGAGTGGGGGAGTGCAAGAGAAGGGGAGGAGAGAGAGTGGGAGAGTGCAAGAGAAATTAGGAGCGTGAGAGAGCTAGAGATAGGGGTGGGGGGAGGTAGAGAGTGGGGGAGTGCAAGAGAAATGTGAAGCGCAAGAGAGAAGGGGAGGAGAGAGAGTGGGAGAGTGCAAGAGAAATTAGGAGCGTGAGTGAGCTAGAGATGGGGATGGGGGGGGGGAGGTAGAGAGTGGGGGAGTGCAAGAGAAATTGGGAGCGTGAGAGAGAGGGGCAGGCGAGGGAACAGTGCGGTGTTTTGTTCTCGTGGGTGCAGTTCTCACGAATTCTGTCTGTCCGTGTTGCAGCGAGTGTCCGAATTATGATGCAATCATTGACGTGATATTAAAGCATGGTCTCAAGGAGCTACCCAACCACTGCAAGCTCACCCCGGGTATGTATACACTGCTATGCCAACTGGTCTCTCTGGTATCTCTCTCCCCCTGTCCATCTCCTCTCTCTCCCTCCCCCTTTATCTCTCTCTCTCTCTCTCTTTCTCTCTCTCTCTCTCTCTCTCTCTCTCTCTCTC